CGGTTGATCGGAGGCGCCCATAGCCACATCTCAGATGGGCGGTGGCTGAGATCGCCGTCGATCAGGTCCGATTGATGGCCGCGAGATCGTCCCGATCTCTCCGGACTTTGCCAGTGTTCTGGCCCTCTCCTGTGCGCGCACCCCTCTCTGGTGCGCGCACCCCTTCTGTCAGGTCACTTGGGCCTTTTCTGACGGGTGCAACGCGCATTTCCGGCGCATGATTGTCGTGTGCATCATCGACGGCCACAACGACATTTACCGGTGGGTTTTTGGGTACGTCTTTTTCATGTTGTTGTTGTTGTTGCTGTTGTTGTGCTGACTCTCCTGTACTCAGCACAATCTCGTGAACACGTCAGTGCTCTGACTGGGACGATGTGTACGGAATCGCGTGCGCCCTTCAACCGGGTCCCACCCGATTGCACGCTCGCACAATCTCACGGGTCAGGTACGGTATTCGTGCTGTTTTCGCGTGTATTAGGAGGGCGCGCGCGATCGCGCGCGCCCTCCTAATACGCCCCGTTTTACCGGGTGTTTGGTGTGGTTTTCTGTCATTACATACCATGGGTTGGTGCGCGGTGCGCGTGACTCACAGTGTGCGAAACGTTTCTCCCATTAATACAGGGCCTGTGGGTCGGCCTTTCATACTGACACCACGCATGCTCTCCGGGGGTACGCGCACCCATCCATTGGCCAATGTACTGCACCCATGCCCGTGCCAAACCGCGTACAATAGGGCACCGTCACACCTGCGAGCACAGCGCACCGTGTCGTATACGGTGCGCACCCATGACAACACGCGGTTATCATGTGACGAGGCCTGCGCGTGTAGTACGTGCGTTTTATCCGAGCTATCATCCTTATCTCTCACCGTCGTTGTCACTGCGCTGTATGGATTCAAGCGAACACAGGTAGGTGCACTGTGCCAATGGGCACGACGAGCTACACACTGACCGTTTCGTGCGCAGACGACAATGGCCTCCGTGTTCTCCAATCGCGATCGCATGATCGACGAGGCGGTGGCCTACTACCACGTACTCCTGCCCAAGATGGTCGCTTGGTCGGCATGCCTGGTGGAGAACCCGGACGACTTCTACGTGCGCGGGCGACACACCGTGGGCGACCTGATGGCCGCGCTGCGTGTGCTGAGCTTCCCTGCGAAGGGAGACACTAGTCGGCCTCGGCCAGGGGAGGTTCTTCCCATGCAAGTGTTGGCCGACTTGGCGGAGTACATGGACACGCTCGAGTCCGTTCAGATCGCGGTGGCGAACGTCATGACCGACGTCCACTGCGGCTCGTTGCTCGTATCGCTGGAGCAGGCCAACTGGATCATGAGGCTTCTCGTGCCCGTCGCTCGGGAGATCGGGTGGAAGATGGACGGCTATACGGGTGCGTATATCTCACGTATTCTCTCTGACCCGTTGTGCTTACTCCGTGGGAACCAGCGCTGGCCAAAAAAACCGCGGGTAAGTGTCGCTTATTAGGGTGCGCGCACGGCCCGCTTGCTCACAACGCACGTACGGCGTGATTGATGATCCAGGTGGAAAGCTCCGCGCGGACGAGTGGAGGACCCCGTACCCTCCTGCGATACTCTACATGTATACAGCTTTCCTGCGCGATGAGGTCCGAACGGTGGAAGAGGTCCGTGCGGAATTCAGGACGTACCTTGCTTTCGGGACGGGGCTCTTCGTGCGGGATGACCAACCGGTGTGGCCACAACGTTATACCGTCCCGCTGAGGCGCGAGCACGAGCTGTCCAACCCGCACCAGGTGGAGAGAGAATTCTGGTTCGCGATGTGCGCACACATCCAGGTGATCTGCGCCTCCAGCGACGTGTTCATTGGGCTGGATGCGCGGCCTTTGGACGGCGTGCCGAACGAGGCTCTTCAAGGTGGCTGGCTCCAGAAATTGGGTGTGGCTCTGAGGCGGATTGAGAGGCGGATTGAGAGTACGTGTCAATCTGTCAGTAGCCTGGTGTGACGCGTACCTAACGTTTAATTCTCAGTCGACACCTTGGAGAACAACCTTCAGAGAAGCCCCGGCGTTCATGAATATTTCGCTGGGGTTCATCACGTTCATGGATGTGCAAGACGTGGTACAGATGCTGACGTCCGAGTCGTCGACAACGGAGCTCGTGTTCTGGGAGTACCAGGCACACAGTCCATACCCCGGTGTTCCGTGCCTTCCTGTTGGGATGATCGAGGGCTCGCCGGGACATGCGACCTGGTCCGCCCGTCAGGCGAAGCATTGCCACCGCGTGCTGGCGCACATGTTGGCCCGGATGGCAATCTTTGAGTCTGTGCGGTTTGCCGACGCGGGCTTGAACGCACAGTTGACGGAGCATCTGCATTTCTGCCACCAGCGTCTGGGCTGGTTAGCGGCTCAGCTCGAGGGTATTCCGCTCCGGTCTAAGTAGTCGTTTTGTACCGTATAATGTGATCGCCGTAGTGCGCACCTTCAGCCGCGCGCACCCCTGTCCCCGTGCGCGCACCTTCAGCCACGCGCACCCCTGTCCCCGTGCGTGCACCCTCTCACAGCGTGCGCAATCTGCGTACAGATTGACTGAGGAGATATGACCCGATGTACACTCACATCCTACCACCCAGCGACGACTGCGGCATGTAACAGAGCAGACCACGTGACAGTCACGTGACCTTCAGCTAGGGTGCGCGCACCGCGTGGAAGATGGGGTGCGCGCACATAGCTTCCTGCTGTTGTGTTCTCCTGCTGACTTGTTCCCGACAGGCCAGCCATGGATCCCTGCGCGTCCATCTTGTGTTGTGCCCTCACTGGACCAACTGTAAGGTAAATGCGACTTCAATTGGCACTGTCCATGCCTCACGTGCACTCATCGTCTCTGCTCAGTTTCAAGTGCACGACCACCTGCGCTCCGTCGTCTCATACTGTTTGTTCTGTCGAGCGCGGGCCTTACTCAGTGAATTCCTTTCGCTGTACAGTGTACTTTACATCTCCCAGTAATGCTTACATCTCCTGGTAGTTGACTGACTTGTTCCAGATTCATCTGTGCAAGCACAAGTGGCCTGGAGGCGATGTGCGACAGCATGCATGGGTGGTTGCAAAGTCCAGTTCTGTTTCCAAAAAGGCTCAATATATCCCCGATATCGTGCTCTGTGCGACAAGCTAACCCAGTCACTGCAAGCTCTGTTGCTCTGGACTGAGTCTGTCTTTTTTGGAGTGCACACGACTGCACACTGCTGCTGGGAAGCAGACTTGGTGGAAACAAGCGTGAACAGTACAGCCGTGAAGGAGAGTTTTGCTGAACGTGACAGCCAAGCCTCATGCAAGTACGAGCAGTGTAGAGAACTGTCTTGTTCTGCTCTTTTCGTGCACTTGTTCTTGAGTTGTCCTGAATCGTTGTGTCCTGAAATCCACAGCTTCTTGGTTCTCACTCTTGTGCTGTGAGCTGTGAGTTGACAGTGCAGTTGTCTGGTGGCTGTTTTGAAGTTGGGGCTGTGTACGTGGAGTAGTGGGTGTGCTAGAGCTCAGTTGCTGTGTGCTGTGTTCCGCGTGAGTGGGCAGTGTTCCAGTGTGAGTAGAGAGTTTGAAACAGTGAGTTGGACAAGTGTGCGGAGAAGACTGTGAGACGTTGGTTACGAGTACAGGAGAGCTGACCTGAGAAAACACAAGTCACTGTTGGCAGTCCAGCGACCTGTGCAAAACACAAGGAGAGTTCGCAGGACAGACACTGCTTGCTGTGTGCGTGGTGGGTGGAGAGTTCGTTGGCTCGCAGGGCTCGCAGACTCACTCTCCACGCCACCGACGCACAGAGCAAACAGTGTGTCCTTTGGAACTCTCCTTGTGTTTTTCGCAGGCTGCTGAACTGCCAACAGCGACTTTGTTTTCTCAGGGAGTACGTTTGTGGCTTGAAGTGGACAGTGTAGGACACAAGTGTGAGTACTTGGTTGTCGGTAGGTAACTGAAACTGTGAGCCAGAACTTAGTGCCTAGTCCGAGTACGTAGAGCACAGAAACCAGTACGCACAAGCTAGAACACCGTACACAGTACCCGGTACCCAGTGCGTACTCAAAGTGCGTAGTGCTTGGGCTGTAGTACTGTGCTTAGGGTGAGCTCTCGACGTCCTGTAGACACGGACTTTGTGAGAGGGTGTACACAACTGTTTGAAGTGCAAGTAGGAGTGTGTACTTGCAGGCTCACAGTGTACTGTTCTTAGCTCCCACGTGTAGTGTACAACCTAAGCTTGAACTCTGTACGTGTGAACTGTGGCCCCAAGCTCCCTGTGAAGTCTGTGCGTGTGAACCGCACCTCAGGGTCACAGTTCTGAGCTTACAGTGAAGTCCACACGTGTGAACCCCTGGGCTGTGAACTCCCACCCACAGTACACACGTGTGAACCCCCGCTCTCACTCCGCACGTGTGAACCCAGCTCACAGTACACAGGACACACACGTGTGAACCCCAGTCTCCAGTCCCCAGCTCCCAGCTCCCAGCTCCCAGCTCCCAGCTCCCAGCTCCCAGCTCCCAGCTCTCAGCTTTTAGCTCTCAGCTTTTAGCTCTCAGCTTTTAGCTTTTAGCTTTTAGCTTTTAGCTTTTAGCTTTTAGATTTTAGCTAAGCTTAGCTTTTAGATTTTAGCTAAGCTTAGCGTAGGTTAGGTTAGGTTAGGGTTAGGTTAGGTTAGGTTAGGTTAGGTTAGGTTAGATAGGTTAGGTTAGGTTAGGTTAGGTTAGGTTAGGTTAGGTTAGGTTAGGTTAGGTTAGGTTTAGGTTAGG